GGGCTTCCCCCCACTCTATACTTCTTTAGTCTCACTTTCTTCCTCCCTCAGGGGTGGCAGATAAGTCACTCAACTGTAGTGTTACTGTAAGTTTAGATGACCAATTCAGCAAGGGTGACAAATGCTACTTTCTTGCCTCTTTCCTGACCCCATAAGATTTCCAAGATTTCTTCTGGGAATTACTTACAGAAGATGTATTTCTTCATCTGTGGCACAAAACCCATTTTTCCCCTTTATTTCCGCCCTCTGAGAAAGTCCTTGGAGTAATAGGTAAAATGTCAAAAATAATTAAGAAAAATACTGATATACACTGTGGCAGAGAATTATACCTTTTGAGATGGTTGTTGCCATCATCTGTAATCAGTCCCCTGACAGATATAAATACCAGCTTTATCACCTTGTTTTAGATGATGATGTGTTGAATCAATGTTGATGAAGACTGTATTTTGGCAACTTCAGTTAAAGGGAAAGAATAGTTTCAATTGTGAAGCAGAGAACATAAGTTCAAAGTAAGTACCTGACACAGAATACAGACATTTCTTTATATAACATCTATTTAATCCTGTTCATAAAAAATCTTTCTCATATGAGAGAAAAGGACTGACAATAGCAGAGTTCTGTCCCAAAAAAAAAATCCTAGGTGCTTGCTTTATTGCCTGGCATGGAGACCAGTGAGTATCCAGTGAGTACCCATGCCCAGGAGCAATGTTTCTACTTTCTGGGCTAAGTGGATTCCTTACTTGGATTATTAAGTGTTTATGTCCTTAAGAAAGAACCTTTTTGTCTTGCATCTTAAAAGAAAAGATCATATTTATTTTCAGGGGAAATGTATCATGACTAGATTTATAGTACCATGTGCTCAAAGATCAAATTGAATGACTGCAAGCATTTATATTTTTATTTATAGGAAATAATATAAAGGAGCAGGAGGCTTACATGCAGCTTAAGTGTTTGGCATTTATCTTTTTCAAAATGCATTAGAAAGGCAAATGGACTTGGAATGCCAGTTAAAAAACTAGAATCACTCACTGTAATTTATTACTTTTTACATTTAGGTAGATTCAAAGTACAAGTTATGGTGCCCGCAGTTCAACTGCTCTACTATATTTTATGAAGTACAAGGTAGCAATTGGTTGCATAAGGGACTAAAGATTTGGTGCTAAATCCTCTTCAACTTTTAAGTGATACGTCTGTATTCTTTGATTTTTTTTAAAAAAAAACAGCTTTAACAGCTATGTCTACATAGTAAGGGTGTACCTTAACCTGGTTTGGAATGGATCTCCATATAAAAAGCCTTGCTTCCACATGCAAACCTCTGTAGACCCCTCAGAATTTCTCCAGACTTTGGGAATTCCAGGATATTGGGACAGTGCTCAGGGCCAGAGTTCTCATGGTCTACATTACACTTGAAAATTAGCTGGCTCCAAAATCCTAAACAGAGGCATGCTGTGTTCACATGATGAACAATCCCTCAAGCTAAATGAGTGTAAACAAACTAAATGCTCCTTCAGATCTTTTCTATAAAAGTTATATTCTTCCAGAAATTTTTCCTGAATTTTGCTGGTATGTTTCAACCTCTCTCTTCCTTTAAATATCTTTTCTCCTTGTCTATCTATTCAAAGCAGAACTAACAAAGGAGCAATTATCCAACAATTATTATTATTTGCATCACAGATGCAGCAGGTCTCTGATGACAAGCAATGTCTCAGTGTTCATTTTTATTACACAGGCACAAAAATCCATTGAAGCAACTTGGGAAGTCTACACATTGCTGCATTCACAGAATTCTGCATGCTGGAAGCATGGAAAACTCCCTGACACTTGAGATGTGCATGGACTCTCATGGAACATGATATGTGACTATAATCTAATACGTGTATCAGGGAGCTGAGGGGTACATTGTCTTTTCATGTCAATGTATCAGCAAAGTCCTCAGAACTAATTTCTGGAAGCAGTAAGGAAAGCTGACAGAGCATAGCAAAGCTGGAGACTTTTTCTTGTTGCTCAGCAGACTGTGTTGAGTGGCTGGGCTCAGCAGAGCACCGCACACAGTCAGGCAGTAAAAATTGTTGGCATCACCAGAAGATTACTGTTATCTCTGGAGGACTGCCTGTCATGTGGATAGCTTTCATGCACAATATGATGTGTGGTATGAAGCAAGTTCTGTGTGTTTTCAGCAAGAGCGCAAACCCAAGAGCTGCAGAGCATATCTTTGCAAAAATGGCTAAGGGCTAAAAAAAAATTGCCTCCTGGTGCCCCAAAACCTGGTTCCACTGGAGCTTCTGCAAGTACCCCTTATCCTCACTTCACTATGGGCTCCACACTGCTTTGAATCAGGCTGTATCCAGTGGGCATTGCAAAGGCTAAGTGCACCTTTGAATTTTAGCTTGGATCAGATGGGTACTTCTAAAGTAGGTCTTGGGATCATTTCCATTGTTTATGCTTTTGCTTGTGTTAAGGAACTGTCTCAAGTGCATGAACTGGAATTTATTTTGGATAAAAAATAAACCAGCTACATCTGATGCACTCCAGAAAGAGATAGGTACGTGTTCTGTGGAGTTAAACGAAAGATCCTCCAAGGTAAAAAAGAAAATTAAAACTAAAATTTCTTGTAATGCAGCTTTCTGGTCCTCACTGTCAATTGTTTTGCTCTAAAAATCTTCCTCTGGTCCGCACTGTTTGCCAGTGTGGATGTAGCCTTAAGGCTCAGCTGAGCTTCTTTTCCCAGTGTAGAAAGATGTTTCTGATGGTTTCAGAAATTGTTCAGTCTATCTGTGGTTCATGTTCCTAAAGTGTGAAATAGGGAAGATAATACTTAGCCATCTTTATCAAACTGTACACATCTCAGATGAATGCCCAAGCAAGTCCAAAGTGTAGTAATATTTTACCTACATCTCCTCCTACAATTTTCTGTACTATATACATATATTTTAAAGTTACTAATCTGAACTGTAAAAATACACCCAAGTTGATGGCAGTGCACATAACCAAGTTCTCTTAATATAAGCTCATGTTGGTTTCCCATATGATTTTTAATGCCTGGTTAATTGTTTATGGATCAGTTTCCACTGAAATGCTGTTTATGTGTGTATTTAGAAAGGTGAAGGAGAACAGCAGCCTCTATTGGGGTAGCAGGCAACTGCTAAATAAATCTCTACACTGTCACCCCAAATGAAGCATAAATAATGAATCAAATTTTAGGAATTATGACCTTAACTAGGTCAGTTTGGTGCTGTGAATGTTTAGTGAGGAAACAAAAACATGAAAACAAAAACGTGCAGTGTTTTGTTTCAGCTGTTTTAATAATGCTCAATTTTTTTTCGGTGACAATTTCAGGTCAGTTGGATTGTTTTCATTGTAATTAAAAAATAAAGTACTCCTATCCAAATGAAAATAGATTTAGGTTGTTTTTTCCCTCGTTTTGAAAAAACAGAGGTACTTAGTAGACAACATAGGAGTTGCTTAATACACTGGGATATCAAGTCATTTTTGTGGAATTGCAAGAAAACATGATAAAATACAATTTGCTCTTACTGTTGTTGGCACTACTTTGAACTGGTTGAAGATGCATTCCTTATTATTCAGATGTATTTTGCTTTCTGTGTTAATATATGACAAATATACAACCAGTGTTGTAAGTCTTTGAACTATTTGAGATTTCCTTCAGTATTTTAAAATTAAGTTTGAGCCATCCTAATTTCCAGCGTGTGTTCTCATTGGCAGCATGATGTTAATAAATCATCAGAGCCCCATTGATCAACTGGCTTATTTAACACTGTACAAACAGCAAGAACAGCCCCACTCTTTGCAGTTAGGAAAGTTAATTATTTCACACTGACAGGTTATTAAGTTCTCTCTAGCCCCAGAGTTAAAACAAAAAATATTCAGAAGAGGTTTTTGGGCAAAGAACAAGTTTGGTCAGTCTGATCCCAGACTGAGCAGATCTGTTCCAGGTGAGGCCATCACTGCCAGCTCTGCTCAGAGCTTCAGCTTCTACACCTGAAAATGGGGGAGATTATCTTGGCCCTTACAATGTGGTTACAGATTGACTGGGTCCCATTCATTTCAACCCATTTTCTACTCCTGCCATAGGATAGCAATTCCCAAGTGCTGCAGTCTTTAAGCAATTATCTTAGACTTCAGTCTGACTTGGCTCATTACATGTTTCTCTGCTCTCCATTCCCTGCTCATCTTTCTTTGATGTTGCATTTTTTACATTACTTTTCCCACATGCACTTGTAGGATTCAGCCTGTATTCGCCCTATTAAAACTTTTACTATCTTCATAATGAACTGGCTCCATTTTCTCATTTCATGTAATGAAAAGAAACCACTGTCAAATAGTTAACATTAATGGCACAAATGTCTGCATCTCACTAAACAGAAACACTTAGATCTCCACCTGATAAATTTAGTGTAATTTGATCTAACTCTGTCTCCTTCAAAACACCAGCCTGATACCTAAATTAGATCTTAGATTAGAACTGTCATCAAGACTCTTTCCTCTAGGGGAAAACAGAAATATTTGGAAAATAATTCAGTCCACACAAGGCAGATCACTAGATACAAGATGAAGGTATGTGTAAACTCTCCATGGAGTCCTGACTTCACATCCTTTGCAGAAGGAACATCCATAAATGTCATATTCTTCAGTGTGCCAAAAAGGTAATGATGAGAAGATAAGAGAAAGGGTCTGAAGATCATGACTGCCATAGAGATGAACAAGTGCCCATTATTTATTTTCTGAGACCAGAAGTGTGGGGATTAAATGCAGGCAGCATGCACAGCCCCAGAAGGATCCAGAATGGTTCTACACAGTGTGAGGCTGCCTGCTGTGATTATTGATCCTTTATGGGGCAGGGCAGGAGGCAACTGGAAAAGTTCATGGAAGAGAAATCCACCAAGGTCTGCTAGTGGGAAGCCTCTAAACTGCAAATTTCTGGCAAAGTTTTATGGCTGAGTATCACTAAATGTTTGTTCCTTGCTTGTATCAATTCCCAGGCAACCCTGTGGTTACTGTTAAGGCCAACAGAGCTGAACACATCTTGCAGAAGCTGGTAAGACCTATTTTATAATATTCAGTATCTCAGCTAGCTGCCTTCACTTGGTGGAGGGAATCTGTCTCAGTTCACAAAGTGTGGTTAGGGGGTCTCTGTGGGGACCTACTCCTGGGCCTGCTCTGGCAGCCAAGTTGCACCTATGCAGTGGCTTTTGTTAAAATGAAGTTTCTAATACAGCATTAAATTGCATTTGAAATGAATGAGCTGATAGAAATGCTATCCCAATGATCACATTTCAGTTCAGCAAGACTGGATTTCTTTTCATTTGAGGGAGCTCTGATCTAATTTTGTGTCTTCCCAGCAGATTTTTATTTCTCCTAGTTGGCAGTGTACTGGGCTACATTCTGGTAAAACACACAAATATTTTCTAACTACAAACCGTCGTGTTTCAGTGGTCTCAGCTTTTCAGATTGTTATCTGCAACTGTTATTACTATGCTATTGTAACTACCACTTTTTTCCAGATTGAATGTGCTGCTGTTGAACTCTGATCCCATGGATAGATTGTGAGCATCACCTTTAGTAGGATGGCAAATGTTCTCTGCTAAGCCATGGCCATAAAATGAGCATTGTTTCTTTGTATACATTGACAAGTGAAAAAAAGAAACTAAACTCTGCCTTTTTATTAATGGATGAATGATGTGAATTAAAATATTTGACCATTTTAAAGCATGGAGTGTGGATGTGCTAAGTTGTTTGTGGGATTGAATTTCTAATAACTGTTTTAATTGGAGGTTGAATTCAAGTCCAAATAGGCAGATCTAAATAGCCATTTAAACCAGTAATCACACCACTAGGCAGATCTTGATGTGTCTTCAATAATTAATCTGGGCAGATATCCTTAAATAATTCAGTGATTTTTAATTAAAGAAAATAGGGTATTTAGTTGATTTTTTTAGTCTGGGGAATATTTATCAACATGATTCCATGCCTTTCCTTTTTTTCTAATATTTTTTCTTTCCCTGCTTGGTATTTTACGACTTTTAGATTCTTTCTTAGCTAAATATTTTCCTAAGAGCAAAGACTTTGATTTGTAAATGTGAATGTGATCAATAAAAACTTATGGCTTCAAAGTGTCCTTATTTATATTTCAATCCTCCCTCTCACCTGCTGTTTGTTGCTTTTTAGTTATGTCACCAATCCCACTGGAGCTCAAAAAATTTAGCTGGTCCTCTCTAAACTCCCAGTCATGTTCTTTTCCCATGTACTCTTCCGTCCCTGCAGCTTCTGATGTAAAACAGATTTAAGTTTGTGTAGAGCAGAGGTCAACATGAAAGCCTAAAACACAACAAAAAAAAAGCTGGCATTCAACTTTTAGCTCTGGTTCTTATTATAACTCAAAGCTCTATTTTAGTAATTTAAAAATGGTAGTATTGTTCTACATCCATAACCTACCTTTCACCGAGTTTCTTAATGACTGTGATGCCCAGTTGAGATAAACTTCTAGACTGGCTGATGAGCATTTGGAAGAACTGCAGGCAGTTGTGCCACGATGGTAAAATAGACAATTATTTTGCAAAATTATCTCTGTGAATTTTACATTTATTTTGCTTTAGAATATGGCCAGAAGCAAAGCTTTGAACCCATTTCTCCTATTCCTAAGCAGTTATTTGCAAAATCATGGCTTTGGTTAACCTTGGTATGGGTAGTGGGAGCAGTGGCTGTATGAGATCCCTTCAGTGACAGATTTCCTAAAAAGTTTATTACCAAGTGCTTCAAACATTTATTATTTTTTTTTAAGCAGACCAAGTTTTCAGTTCTGTATTTTGCAGTATCACATCCCTTTCTGAAAGGCTCTGTAAATAATCCTGACCTAAGTGTTGAATGAGGATTAAATGCTGCATGTTATGGCTCAATGTGCTAGTCCATTTACCAGTGTTGTGTGTATGTACCCAGCCTTCTGCATTTTTCAGTGTTAATCAGATGGAAATAGCAATTGGAGGTGTAATTCAGTGTTGTTCTTAAGGTCATTAAACCCTGTGGTAATGGGTAAATCCAGAGCCTGCTGTGGCCTTATCAGGCAATCTGGCAAAGAAGCCAGTGCTGTGTCACTGAGACACTGTGAGCTGGACAGTGGCTGCATCCCTGCTAAGGGACAAAGCCCCACTGTATCAATTTGCTGTATTTTAACCTTAGAACATGTCTAACGTGAGGAGGATCTAACCTGGGTGCCCACCAGCTTCTCCTCTTCCAGGGAGAGGAGTGTACCCAGAACAGCCCTAGAGCTGCTCCTCAGTGAGCACCAAGAGTGTTTGTCCTGCTCTTCAGTCCAACAGCTGTCTTGGGAGTAAATTTCTATGGTAAAACTGCTTTTTTTTTTTTTTTTTTCCACAGGAGTTTCTTTCATGAGAAATGAATCCTGAGATGTGAGAGAAAATAAAGTAAGGTATTCATGGTAGTAATTAATTATAAATCAAAATAGAAAAGAAATATTGTAAAAGTTAAAGCTTTATCCTGCAGTGGGTTTGAAATCAGACTGAAGTTAGGAGGACACAAGAGGTATGAGCCCCTTTGTGGGAGCTAAGTAAAGGCTGTAGTCTGCACTCTGCAAAGGCTAAGACTAGGTCTCAGCTGTGAATTTGGTGTTGATTTAGCACCTCTTTTGCATTCTTCCTTCAATGGTAATTTATTGCCCCTGTGGTGGAGAGGGCTTCTTTGTGGAGGTAGACGATAGGGTAAAATGTGGAGAGAAGATAAAAAAGGCACTGGTGAAACAGTCCTCTGAAAAAGTGGATGGAGGTGTTTTTATGCCTGATAGCTAAAAAAAAATGATGGCCCTAGGCCCTCCAAATGTGTTTGATTCTTTTGTGTGCAATAAGGAATTTGAGCTCTTTGAGCTTTTTGGGGAAGGTCAGGTGGTTAATTTTGAAGTGTTTGCCACAGCTGTGTAAATGTTGGAGAATCCCGTGAGGCCTTGAATGCGAATTATAAACTCAGGAGCTCTGAGGTGGGCGTTGGAGGAGGCAGGACTTTATCACAAGGAAACTGTTGATGGAAGGGGAGAGTCATTTACAGATGATTCTGAGATGGAAGTAAGGGCAGAATATAATGTAATTTGGATCCTAGATGCCATGGGGTATTCAAGTAACATACATTCTTTATAATGCACTGAATGCTAAACAATCGAATATTTGGGGAGTTTCAACAAATGTTATTGTTAACCCCAAAGTGCTTAAAAGTCATGAATTCCATTTCAAAAAAAAGCTCTGGAAATTTAAAATACTAGAAACAATACAAGGAATGCATGTTTGGGATAATGTGGCACATTTTCAAGCAGTCTCTGATATTAAGGGTTATGTACCTTTTCTTTTTATTGTTAGACTTAATATATTGTATATCCTCCATTGTAATGGAAAAAGACTAAATAACTGAGACTTAGATATAGTCTTAAAACTGCAATCTTGTCCAGAAGGCAGTAATTTTCCTTCAAATCTGATAATTAATTTTCACTCTTGTTTCCATAATAATTACTCATGCACATTGCTGTATGCTGATTGAAGTCAGAGCACAAGAGTTTCCTGGTCCTCTTTCCACCCTTTTGCATTGCAATATTGAAACATGGCTGCTCATAATCTTGAGGATGTTTTAATTTTATTTTTTTTCTGATGAAATCACCAAAAAGAAATTTTGATATTCTCTAGTAAAAGTAGAAGGTGATCACATCCAGCCTTGTGTATGATCAGTGAATTTGTATGGGCAATGTGGCAGGTTACAGTGTAGGAATGAGTTAAGATGAAGAATGTGGTAAAAGATTTTTAAATTATTTTGGAGTTTATACATAGGGAAACAAGATTTAAAAAAATCCTGCCTTTGCTGACGATATCATTGTTTTGGGGCATATTCTGTACAACTCCAGAAGTTAAGTTTTGCATTTCAATGGACTTGCAATTCTTCCTTTGGAAATACAACATTCAGCCCCAAAATTATTACAGCTCTTCGTCTTAGATCACATCCTGTTGAAAGAAACATTGGCACATTTTTGCCATCATCAAGGGCTCAGATAAGAGTTCTGTGCTTTTGGACTCCTCATATTCAAGAAAATATTGCATAGAAATATGGCAATGTGTTGCATTTCGTTTGCTGGAGACTCAGATTCTGTGCCCTTTATTGTTCTTCCATAATCGCTTCACAGAGGTTCAGCAAAATAAATACGGGTATTCACAGAGAGCTGGCTGTCTCCACTCACAAGCAGGACAAACAACACACTATTATTTTCATGAAAATTCTTTTTAAATCTTAAAAAAGCTGCATTATAATTACTTAAACCTTATTTTTCTCTTCCTTTTTTTTCTCCCTTGCAGTTGGAGCTAAGTAAATGAAAATTCTGTCTTCAGAATCTCAAGTTTCAAAAGAAACATAACTCTGGATTTTGGATGGTCTGACTTCCTTTTCCAGGGATGTGTCAAGTCCAGTATTTCAGTTTGAAACACTGATGTGACAGACTGCCATAATGCAATGTGTTTAAGCACCTCAGTGATGCATCAAGTGAAAGGAGTTCCCAAAGATTCAGTTCACACATGCACACACACACACAAAAATGAAGGATAAACAGTATGGGAAGCGGAACATAAATCTTTTTCACATAGTTTGGCACAAATTCAATTATAATTTGTAAATGTTCAATCAATTAGACCACTCAGTTGTTTAACTTATAACTTTGAAGGCAGATTATCTTTTCCAAGGGGAAAGCGTCTCTCAACCAAGACCTTTTATGTGAACTGCTCCAGAAGGAAAATGCTACATTTGCGATGGAACATGAAGAGATTTGGGAGAAAAGTGTGTAATACCAGGATGTCTTTGGCTGAATGTCAAGATTTTGATAGGAATAGGCTAGCTAAACCTTTAAACTGCCAAATGACACACAAACACTCTCCACCCAGGGAAAAAAATGGGGTTTTTTCCCCCCTTAAATTAGAAATAGTAATCTAGTGTTTTTATAGTGTTTAATACTTGTAGTGATAATTCAATATTAGCTGCTGGTACATTTGGAAGAAACTGCATGAAAGCCCATTACATTGTCCTTCATTTTCAAATGCTTTCAAGTGTCTTATTTACACACCGATTTTACTTGTGGCTTCTTTTATTTCAAAACCTGTCAATTCCCATACAAGATATCACAGTCTTCGTACTTTATCAATAGTCACTTCCAAACACTGGGGACTGCAGTTGGCACCTGGGTGCCATGGAGGGGAGACTTGTAAATATGGAGATACAGAAAGCTAAGGATGAGAGGGGAGGGAGGTCAATTCCAACACAATATGCACTGTTGTGTTTTTTGAGTTACAACTTTGTCATCAGGGCTGGGAAAACCCTTGTGTTAAACACTTTTTCCTGCTGCAGATGCAGAGCTTGCCTGTCAGAGAGCAGGAACACTGGTGGGTTTGGCAGTCCCATGATAGCACCAGAAGCAACAGTGACACACAGGAGCTGGAGGTGTTCCCCTTCTGCCAACTTGCAGTGTGAGTTCATTGAATACACTTTATGTGGACAAACCAGAGCTGTCTGCAGTCTGGGACCAAATTGGAGCAGTTCATGACTGGCTGTGGTCCACTGACAAAACAACTGAAATATTGTTCAAACTGAAAACATTGCATTTACTCTCTCTTCTATTGAAGGCAGTTTCTGTGTTGTGTTGGCTGCCCAAGAATTTTGACTGAGCATTGAACATGTAGACCAAAACTAAATCACAACCAGATTCTGTCTGAAGTCTTGTCTGCCAAGAAGCACAACAGAAATGATGTCTGTCCAAGCACTGCTGCTGCTGGGTTAAGACATAAGGCTAAGCTGCCTCACCAGCTCTGGCTGAGTGCAGGAGCCTTGGCTGCCTGCTTTTGACTGCATGTAACCTTTCCAAAAGCACCCAAATATCTTACAAGCCTGAATCTCACTGAAAGGCAGATGGCTGAGGGGTGACTAACATCAACAACGCCCTAAATGCAATGAAATTGCCTGGGATGGTCTGATAAACCTCAGAGCTCTCCTCCTGCCCGAGTTTGGGTAGTGTTTAGTTGGCCAAAGCTGGCTGATTTTTGGAAAAGTGAGTGGCTGCTAATTTTTTTCCACCTCCCATTACCCATGCCTGTAGATCTGGTGTGGGGCTTTGCAATGGCCACGAGATATTGGTCTGTAGGTGCCACCCAAGGCGGTGCTCAGTGTGGAGTGCTCCCACAAAACCTGTGGCATGCCAGCTTTAATTCAGTAAGGACTGGAAGATTTTTTCCCTGTGGATCTTTTACATTCAAGTCAGGCTTCACATAGCCCACAGTCTAAAAAAAAGAAAAGGAAAAAAATCTTTCACTACAGAGACAAATAGCAACATGTGGCTGGAAGATAACAGAAACGTACATGCAAGTGCAAAAATTAAATATGGAAATATGAAAATGAGGTTGGGGTTTTTTCTAAGCAAAAGAACTGATCCACTTTTCATTGCTGGAAATTGCATGGGGTTTTATTTCCTCAGCAGCTGATCTCAGAAAAACAAAATGGAAAAAAAAATCCATAGATAAGACGCACCACCACTGTACTCTGACTTTTTGGTTTGCTTTGGAAGTGAGAGTCTTTTGCAAAACTTTTGCAGCTGGCCTGAAAAACAGCAACAAGAAAGATAAAGGCAAAATGATACATTAGAACTAAATAAATGTGCAGAATGCAGATGTGCAGCCTTTCTACCTTCCCTTCTCTGCCTTCAGTCTTCCTGCAGTGTCATACCTTTCCAAGGAACACTGGACTTCTTTTAAAAGACTGTTTCTTCATTTTTCACTGTCATTTTCCACATCTCCTCCCTCCCTCTGTATCCCTTCTCCCTGTCTGCAGCCCACATCTTTGCCAGATAGTTAATGTAAAAATGATTACCTCAGCTCCTCGCAGGCTCTGCCCCCGCTCTGTGGTGGTTTGAACAAGCTGCCTGGTTGCTGAAAAAAATCACAGTGCTCAGCAACGGGGCTGGTTGTCTGTGAGCCACATCATCCTGGAGGTGGCTGGTAAGAGCTGCCTCCAGGAGCAGCAGAGAGGGAGATGCAGACTCCAGTGTTAAAGAGGCAGACTGTGGGGATCACTCTCTTCCTTCTCCTGTTAATGACTCAGTCTGTATTTACAGAGGAACAAAGTAAAAGAAACACCCATCCGTGGTCCTGTAATTTTCATTAGTCCCCAACAAATGGAATTATTTAAGTATTCTTTGGAAGGGATGAAAATGAGTTATCTAGTTGCCTCTTCCTATGCAAGGATTTTGTATGATTTTTGCCCATATTGCATTTTAAAGTGCATGGTTCTGGGATGTCCCTCACCAGGGGCCTTTGCTGTGTCAGGTACAATTAGAAACCGAGGCTAATTGGGGTCAATATTCCATTATATGAAGAAAAGTGATAGGGAAATGAGCTTTCATTTGAAGGTAACTGGTTCTGGTGTGTCTGTGCAGGCAGTCCCGAATGGAAAGAAACAGAGGCCCATTTTGCTCTTACAGACACCAAATTTTTGGGGTGCAAAATTAGCAGTGATTTACTGAGATATTCTATCAGAATACATCTCAAAAACTGCCAGTGCTCCAAGTCTGAGATGCATTGTTTGCCCTGTAAAACACCAGAAAACAGTTTCTGTTAAAAAAAAAAATTAAAACACAGGGTTTGATAATCAATTAGCTTCAACATTATTTACAAAGACAGCTTGACAGCTTTCCATCAACCAAGCAATAAATAATCTAAAATAGGGGTGGTTTATCAGTGCCATGCTATACAACATGAGCCACATGACAGCCCACCCCTGTTTGAGGAGTGCTGGGCTCTGCAGTGTACCAGGAAAGGCCATTAAAAATAATTAGGGAATCTGGTCCCTTCTCTTTCCCATCTGACTAATAACAAGTTGTGCTTCAGAGCATGCTGTTCTAAAGATTGGGGAAGGCAGGACCAAAGTTAAGCCTGGAGGTGTACACACCAGGCACACAGGGAAAAGAAAGGGAAAAAGAGTTTGGTCCTTTTCGTGGGTGTGTTGTGATATGCAGACTCCAAAGCAGAACTGAGACAGCCTCAGCATCCTTGCAGACAGTCCTTTCTAGCATTCCCCTTGCTTGGCTGTTATTGCTGTCATTTTCCTTGGGTTTTTTTGGTGGAATCTCAAGGAGTCCCAGCCTCTAGGATGGTGTGGATGCAGCAGATGCATCCAGCAGAGGCTTGTGCTCAGCAGATCTGTGTCTGATGGCCTTCAGTGGTGATGTCTCCTGGTTAACAACGTGCTCAGGACCCTGAGCAATGGGTATATGAACACAGAAGGGAGTAATCAGAGAGAAAATTACATGGGTTTTATAGTTCATATAAGCCTAAAGAAATTAGGGCTTTTTCTTTTCTTTTTTTTTTTTTTGACAGTGTAATATCATTATCCAGATGAGACAGGCATCCTTTTATTGCCCTCCATTCACTTTTCATTGCCACCCATGCACCCTGTTCCCACAATCTGTGTTTTAGTTTCCACAGGTATTTAATATTCTCAAATTGTTTCCACTGCTTTGAGATCTGATTTTATCTGTTTCCTTCTCTTTATGTTTACTTTTTCCTTACAATGCTTCTCATTAAACTTTTTCTTCCACTTGACAAACTCCTTTCCAATTGTTTTCACTCTCTAGAGAGCACCTGTAATTTTCCTGGGCTAGTACCAAGCTTCTGATTGACCACTCCTCAGTTTTGGTGAGTATCTTTCACTGTCTCAGATGTACAAGTTGTGTAGCCTAATTTGTCTTCATCTCCATCTTCTTCCGCCATACAGTACAGTGCCTTTGATCACTCTTCCTGGTTTCCTCAGGTCAACTGTTCACGTTCAGAGGTTCTGGAAGGGTATCCTGCCCTGAAGACTCATGGTGCCTGCTCCTTTCCAGAATGGGAAACTGAAGATTTTCATCTCCTCACTACCACCGATAACTCCAGGTATTTATTCAATACTAAGTATTGTAATCAGAAGGATATGATGAGATAGACTGCTTCTTGTGTTTAAAAGGTACACAAAATGGTAAAAGCTTTTCATTTTGCTTACTCCTGATTGGCTCCAAAGAGATGGGGAAATGGAGATACAGACAGTTCCATGCCTACTTGGAAGGTTTCAGTAATGAGAGAGGATTGCTCGGGCCTTTCTTCACCTCTCCATGATGCACTGAGGGCAGTGAACATCTGAGTTTCTGTGAGCACTGGAGCAGATTTCCTTCCCTGCCTTGTCAAGGGCTTGGTGGGACCAAGTCAAAGTACTGTGCACACTTTCACACACTTTTTTATCACGTTCTAGAAGAAGCTGTGCTATTGTTTTATACAATGCCAGTGGTACCACAGCACTTCAAACAGGTCTGTGAAATGCAGTTCCTTCTATCCCTGCTGTTATAATTTTCCAGGATATTAGAAAATATCCTAAGCTCAAAATTTTGGATTAAGATCTCCACTTCTCCAACAGCTGAGTTTGCTGTCTTCTGTCCTTGGGTTTGCAGTTCTTGGTCAGTCTGGGAGAGATTACAAACAGTCTCCCCTGTTCTAACAAGCAGGCAGGTCCAGAGGCAGCTGTTTTTGCTGTTGTGCCATAATGAGTGAATGACTGAGCCCTAAAGAAGGAGATTTCTTTTCTGAATTCAAAACTTTCTGCAGTTTTAAGAAGTCTTCCTTCAGTGTCAGGGGGTTTTCCTTAGTAAAGTGTGCACCTGATACTACTACTCAGAGCCTAATTACTGTAAGTCAGGCCTTTATTTCTTTCCAGAAGAAACCCTTTTGTATTATTAAAATACAAAAATGCCTAACTGACTGACTTCCATATAAAGGGGGAGGGGAAGGAGCCACACATAACATGAGTTACTCGAGCATAAGCTATTTTTATTCAATTGAGCCCTTTAGTTCAGATTAGGATCATAGCTTCCTTTGAATGTACGAGTTACTTTGAGTTCTTAGTTCAGTGTTGAAAAAATAACACTTAGGAACTTCTGAATATAAACCTCACTGAAAAGCTGAACTTACAAAAGTGCCTGTCTGCATTGTAGATGAATCTTTACAGGAAAATAAGGGAACAAGCTAAGGTAGCAGGGGAAAAGTCTTGTTTGTGTTTTGCATCTTAATATTGGGAGAAGAAGCCTTGTAGGTTGTAACAACAAATTTGTGATGGGTTCTGAGAAAACAGTGGAGAGGTTGTGATGACGGAGAGTGGTATGTGCATTTTTTCTTCTTATATTTCTGTGTAGTAAGAGGCAATCACAGCAGTGTCAGATTCTCTTAGCAGACTATTGGTTGGTTTATTTAATTATTTGTCATATATGACAAGTGAAATATATTTTGTTATAGGCTAGTATTCATATTATAATAATAAAATACACCATTTTTATGCTATTACTCCACTGTCTCAATAAGGAAGGCCACTGTTTTAACAGATGGAAAAGTCAGAACTGACCAGGAAGAAAAAAAAAAGCCAAAACTCTTCTCTAAAACTACTACATCTGAAGGAGGTCGTAATTATTTCCTTCTCTGTAAGTTACAGCAACATATTGAAAGTTAATAAAGATAAATGTAACATTTACTGGGTAATAAGAGATTGTGGAAGGAAATAAACAAATGTAGGATATAGTGCATCTAAGTAAACACAAAGGTTGTAAAACCTTCAAACTCAAATATCAAGAGCACTGCAAATTAATGCTACACACAATAGACCCTTTGGAAGCTAACTTAATCCACCCCCATGTATCTACATGAGGGCCATGCATAACAATGCATGAGCTGGATTTCCATTAGAGTTTCCTCTGCAGGCTGTCAGTTGTTTGAAGAAATAACAATTTCCTAGGCATGAAAGCTTTTTCAGAATGTTCCCACTGATGTGTAATAAAAGTGACTTTACTTTTTTTCCTTCCCTGCTCTCCTTCAGCCCCTCCCCCTGAGATGTGACTTCTGGGGAAAGAAGAGGATGGACTTAGACCCTCGGCCCCCTACCAGTTTACCTTGCCAGGATTATCAGTGCAGGTGTTAAAATAATTGAAGGTGTGGTAGGAGATACAACCCCTAATAGCTTTTCCTATATGGAGATTACCTAGGTAGAGAATGCCAGAGTACCTGAAGAATAGGCAAGTGAGTACCTTATTAACATAGCACCATTCAGCGGCAGCTGCATATCTGGAAAAAAAAAACCTTTAAAGAGCCTATTCATCTATGTTAATGGGCCCATTGCACAGTACATTGTGTGGGAAATTAAGTCTCTGGCTGTGAACTTCCTGTGCTGTGCAAGCTGCCTTGACTCTTTTTTATTGCTTCAGTGTTATTATCTCCTCCTGGAAATAAAAACAATCATGTTCTCACATTTGAGAAGCCAAAACATTCCCAGATAACAAACTGGTTGAAAGTTTCTTTTGTTTCCCTTATTAAGTGAAAAAATATGTTTTGAAATTAAAGTAAACCCTAAATTAACATGAAAGCCCATCAAATTAGCTGAGCTGTCATATGCATGACAATGTTGGGTTTTCTTTTTTTTTCCCCCTCCCCTGTAAAATACACAATTTAAATTGCTTTCGTATTTATTGTTCCTTCCTTGGAATTAATTTTTGCCACAAAATATGTTAATTTATTCAAATGAGACATGATTTTTGAATGTTTGACTGGCAAAAGAACTGCTTTCCTGCTGAAAGACTGAGGTAGAAAATAACAATTTTCTTTTAAAGCATTTCTCAAAAATATAGTCTCTTTCCAATTTAGCAAAGAGTGGACATTTCTTTAAAAGCAGGTCAAGGAACGTATATTAAAAAATTGCTTATTCAACTTTTTTTTTCAAGCTTGTCATGAATTTCAGAGTAATATATAATGTTTTGCAGTCTGTCTCACCTGCAAGAAAGAATTATTATCAAATATTTAAACAATTTTCCATTCTCTCTTTATGATCCAAGTGCTGTACATTGCATCATCGTCATCATTATCATCATTATCTTCATCATGCTGATAAAAGGACTAATGATCAATACTAACTGATTACAACTCAATTAAGGAGGATCCTCTCAGTGTAAATTCTTTTTTAATCTTGCCTCTTCTAGTCCTTCTGCATTTTCAAGTTAACCTAATATGTTCCACTATTTAACATGTTTAATGAGCATACTGGAATATAAGTAAAATCGTTATTTAATGTGCTATATTGCTTCCACGGTATGTACTCAACTTCCCTTGGGCAACAGGAGTATATAAAGAGTAGCCAAAAAAACCCCAAAAATTCACAGTTAGAAAATGGAAGTTCTTGGTATTGACTGCAACAGAATTTATCTCTTCAGACAAGCAGCTGTCTAGAAGCCTTGTAGAGATAGAGATGGGCAGGAGAAGCTCTGAGTAAGTCACCACGCAACAGAGAGTGTGAAGAAGCCAGTGTGGGAACAGCCTCCCGGTGCAAATCATCATTTCATCCAGTCTGTTTGCACAGACATCCCTTGCAACCATCCTATTATTTTTCATCAAAATGTTATCTGCAAGCTCTTTGGGGTAAGGATGGCTCAGCACACATGGCACCTTGCTCTGTTTTCTGTGCTTGATAGTGCTCGACAGTGTTATCATAATGCAAATTATTGTTGTTCCTGGTAGGGACTGCACTGAGTGCTCTTCGCTTATCTGCAAGTCTGACAAGTGATAATCCAGTAACATCAGAGAGGAAATCAATATTTCATATTAGTTAATGATTTAATTATGGAAATTCTTCCCTTAATGCCATTTGTTAACTAAAGTTACCATAAATTGTGTTCTGTTCAGCTCATCTTTCAGTGGCACTCTGAATTACACCTTCCTGACATTTAGATATTGGAATATTAAACAGATTTCTCTTTCCAGTCCGGTCCAACACTTTGTTCGCAATGCAGGCCATCTGGGAATGTGTACCCATTAATGATCTGGGAGGCACTGTTAAGAGTTTGCATATTTTAAAAAGTCAGAGAAAATTAGAACTGCAGGAACACCAACATATCACATTCGCATTACATAAGTAGATCTGTCATCTACATTATTACTTTTTTCCAGTGATATCTTGCATTGCATTTTTTTCCTCTTTGCTCATGTTTATTTTTAAAACAACATGCAACTTTTTTTTCATTTCATTAAGGCTGGAATTGCATGTTTTATAGTGTGCTGTTGAGAGTTTAAAAAATGCAGAGTGAAGTCCCAGGCTAGTGATTCCCATTTAGTTGCTTTTACACAGCAATATTGTTTTTATATAGGAAGTCTGCTGTTGGCATTTCAAGAATCACAGAGGTGCCAGTAATTTGGGTGCAAGCAAAATTTTTGAAACAGTTCCTGTAAAGATAATTCAGATTAATGGGCCATTTACAGTCTTGCTAACTTACTAACTGGCTGTGTGCTCTAGGTAATCAGGGTGACATTACTGCCGGCACAAAAATGACATCTCGTCATCAGAAATTTTCTTCATTGGCATGGAAAATGCCAGGCACATCACCTCTGACTGTGTGGCCACCACATCTATTAACCTTATTGATTTGGAGTCATGCTGTGCCACACTGGAAAACTACTCCCTGCTGAAAGACTCAAGTGGATCAATCCTGAACCATGAACAAAAACTCAATAACTAAATGTAGTAGGCACCTTTCTCCATTAAGTATTCCTCAAAGTAAATCACATTAGAGAACATCACTGTGAGGAACTTACCTTGGGATTCTGTGATCTCCCAGAAACCAACAGGGAAAATAGCAAAATAGGAAGGCAAGAGATTGCACATTGCTGAATATACTTTATATCTCTTGATCTTGTTCTCAAATATCTATGTTTATGTCATGATATTATAATTTTATTCTACAACTCTGTTCCCCTTTCTAAACATTAAAAGTTTTTCTTTAATGTTTGTTTTTCATTATGATTGTCCCTGGTAAGTCATCCAATGACAGATGATTATGAAAAAGAAAGTTTTCTATCCTTTGTGAACCCTTCAGCATTTTCATGTATTTATAAGCATTCATTTTTGAGACCCTCATTGTGACGGGGTTTGAAAATGAAACAAGCCAACTCCTTTCAGCCTCATACAGTTAACAAAGAAGGCAACAAAAGGACTTCCAGAGCTTCATATTTCCTGACAAAAGATAGAGGGCGGCAGCAAGCCCCATTCATATTTAAATGTTCCTGGCTTTGGAATTAAAAGTCCATCTTTCATGTTACCATTTCCGTTCCTCACTTTTTGTTGGTGTTTGCTGGCAATGAAAACTCTGTCCCAAACATTAATGTGACTCTTCAGTTCAGTCTGCACAACTTCTGCTCTTAGAAAATATTCCTTGTCACAGGCAGCTGAAGATTTCTTAAACAGCACTTGCAAATCATTGTAGCTTATAATTGTCTTGCAAAACTGATTTAGGATAAGAAAAGTGTGGGTGCAACCACTCTGTGCACACGTGAGCAAGGACTGATTGTAGCTGAGTAAGTTGTTTAAGGGGCCAGAGGGACCCTTCTCCTCAGAAAAATTACTTATATGAGTCAGGGGTACAGGATGGGACAGGATCATTTCTGTTTCTCAGTACTGTTACAGCTTTGCCCAGGGGTCTGATCTGACAGCAAAACCTGAAAGCAAAGGGTTTAATTTTGCATTGGTTTTGGTGTTAATGGACAGAACAAAGTTCATTAAAAATTCTCATTGCACTGTGTTCAATCCTGCCTATCATCTGTGTACATATCTGTGTTACATATTTTAATATTTTATCTCAAAATAAATTCTGGATTATGCAAAAAAAAGGGAAAAGAAAATGCAACGACATATTAGAAAATATTATCAGTTACTTGGGAAAAAGTGATTTCTCAAAGCCATGTAAAAGTCTGGAAAGTATTCTTTTTATTCCTTAGGAAATAACCCTGGGTATCTAATTAATATCATGAAATTAAGGCCATTTATCTGAAAAACTGAAAAAAGATCTATATATGCACCAAAGTTCAGTGTTTGTCCCTGAGCTCTAACACAAGATATACTGTGTGAAAGTCTAACATGGGATACACCATATATCATCTCTATTTAGAGCCCCTAGGCAGGAAGTATGGATAAAAAAAATAATCAAAATTACTGTTTTTCTTTACTGAAAGCCCTCTAAGGAATTCATTGGAATGAGTTCTGTCTGCCCATCTAATTGATAATTATTTAATTAGCAATTTATAATGATAATGGGATTTTACCCCCCACCAGTCCATCTTGTCTGTAAGAAAAATTTAAGTAGACAACCTTATGTATTACTTTACCACTTTTGGCAGTTGGCACAAGATATTGTGGGCCAGCGTTGTGATTTCCTACAGTTAAACCATAAAAGCAATGTATTCATATATTTCCTTTGCCTACAGTGTTTCCTTTTCTCATTACCGTGGGTGACTGGCACTCTCACAATGTGTGTGGGTGCACAGGCTTGTTGTGTCACCGTGGACAGTTCTAAGAGCAGCTTCATTAGTTCTTTTTACAACAAAAGCTAGGTTTTTTTTCCTGCCTTCTCTTTCTTTCCCTTAGTTGGCATGCGGGTTGAATTTTTCTTGGACCCCCTGCTTGACTTTTTTTTTTAGAGCTCCTTTTGAACAGTGCAGCAGTGTGAACACTAGGAATTGTAACTGATAGACTGTTTGCAGGAGAACTCATGAAAGTTCTCTTTGTTCACTTCACATCAACCAGGTTTATGCAGACCCTCCCCCATCTCAGGGAAAAGGAAATCCACTTTTAATTATACATTGATGGGAATCACTGTATAGTGAAATTGCATCAAGTGGAGAATGCCCACTTTATTCTCTTTTATCTGAAAATCCAAAAGAAGAACTGGAGTAAAAAAAAATGGATATGCAAGCATAGACTTCCCAATATAGAGCCAGGCCTGCTTAATTTAAATCAATCTGCCAACTCCACTTCCAGTCCTGATTAAAATTTTCATCTGAATCTCTGCACTGTGAGGGTGTCTTGTCTTTAGTCCTTGAGCCTGGAAGGTCTTCTTTTTGAGAGCTTTACCAAAAAAAAATTGCCAAAACACTATTTTTTATTTGAAAGGAAAGAATTGTAAGCATAACATAATTTCAAAATTTGAATTGAATATTTTTTCCCCTTTTTCTCCCTCAGATAAGCATATTGAAATTGTGTAGAAGACTCCTGAGGGCAAAAGAAAGAAGATGTATCTGGTGGCAGAATGAAGGGATAACATAACCTGGTGAGAAGTATAAGTAAACAAGAGAAGCACTTTGTGTCATTTTGTGTTGTTATGTCCAGTGAAATGAATGGTAACATTTTCAGCAGTACTTACAGGAACCTCTGTGATGATAAATCATTTGCGTAATCTGCTAATAAATATGTAATGTTAATTTTCTTTCTTTTTAAAAATAATATCACAAGATACCATTAGTAGAGACAACGAAGCAGGATATTCAGCTTTGTTGTTTATACTATCAAAGTTCACTATGCTCATATTTACCTTTTGAATCTTCCAGTACAAAAAGGAAATACTGGTGTTTTTCTCAGACATTTAGTCAGGAAAGAAATACTTTTGAAAATTTTCTTGAAGATATTTTTTTATATTCTTTCTTAAATTGCTTTATCTTCGTTTTTCCAATTAATTTTTTATATACAATTTAGTAACTGGGGTATTTTTAATATTTCTTGGGGGGGGGGGGGAAGTTAATGCCCACAAAAGAAGTGTTGTGAAGACCAAAGAAAAGGCAGCCTGCCTGGAAACTTTGTATGATTCTGCCCTTAGAAGTTTAAGCACACTCACCTAAAGGGAGCTGGGTAAGACAGAAATGTTCTCCATGGATATTAGGAGGAATGTGCGACTGGTAAATGGAAGAAAATGATGTTCATAGATCTTACCTCAAAGACAAAATCCTGATTGCCTCAAGGTCAAAGACACCACGCAGTTCTGTCTCACAGTAACACCAAGAACATGATGAGCTGTTGATGGGCCCTTGTCTTAGGAAAATAATATGTGCATTACATCCAAGTAGAACCTAGGAAAACTCCATCCAGTTCACACCATCAGGACTGGATACACTCCTCTGCTGTTTGGTCAAGTCACAAATGACTGACCAATCATCCTTTTGACCCCATTCAGATTGAGACCTCTACTCCTCTAATGTCTCACATTATCCCAGATTTTCTTCCACGAACCTTCAGACTTTATTTCTCAGCAAAAGTCTGAACAAGTGAAAAGCATGTAGTTTATATAATAATAATTTATGTAGTCTTATAGACTTAGAATGAATCCATGACTAATCTTCTAGTCTAGAATATCCAGTAAAAGACATCCTTGAGCCCAGAAACTCTCCTCTGAACTTCATTTCTTTACTCATTTGCAGTTCTCCAAGTCATCTACAGATATGTGTAGTGACAGAGAAGTTCTAAAAAGACCAGGAGTTTTCTACAGCATTTTTTACTTATTTGTCAGAGCCACAAGTTTCCAACTTGAAGATAAGTCTGGATCAAAGTCTGTAAGATTACATGAGTCTGTCCATCAGGGTTCTGCTATGCCAGAATGGGAACATCATAATTTTCCAGGTGGTCATACTTTCAAAGAACAAGGAAAACAGGAGATGTTTAAGAGCTAAGTACTAATTATTTTGGATATTTTTTGGCGAAACAAAGGCACTTTGTGATGTTATACCAAATAAGACAATTTGCAAAGGTTCATTAAACCCCAGGAAAGAAAGGAGTGACTCTTAAAACACAAATCCCAGTCAGATCCCAGGACTAAATCTAAAATTATTCAGAATAGGCAGCAGGTCATCTTCCTACCAAATAAGATTTCACTGTAGCCAACCACTAAATGACACAGAAGCGTGGAAATTGAGGCCAAAGTTGCTGAGGAGACTGATCCATGTAAAGGAGCCTCAAGAAAAAGACTACAGTGGAACAACTGATGCACAGCAGGGGTTGCCTTGAAGTGGTGCCTTTCTGCCTGCTGTGAGGGAATCATCCAGGGAGAAAAAGATGGGAATGGAACTGACTTGGGAATGGCTGAAGGCAGGAGCCTGAGAATCAAAAAGGTATCTTAGAAATATGGTAAAAAGTAAACCTTAGGTTTGATTGTTCTGGTTTGCTTCCTTTTTACATTTATACTGGAGGTTATTTAAGAGTCCTCAAAGACCAGTCTAAGGTTTGCTGCTGAGAATAAAGCTACTGAGATGGATAATGTTCTTACAACAAAAGAGTTTTAAAAAAAAAAAGTGGGAACATTTTCTTGTCATGGCTTCGTTACCTGGATTTTCTATAGCTCTCCTAGAATAGACCAGGGCCACTCCTGCTTTCAGTGAAGTTGCTCATTCATTTACTCCCTCATTCAGTTTAGAATCAGGACTTTTTTCTTTAAAGTTCAGAAAAATGTAGTTCAGCAAGTTTCTGTCTGTGGAGAACTTAGGCTCACTGTTTGAGAGAAAAGCCCTTGAGGCTGACATGCTTTAGTTGGAGTTCTGCTGAACTGAACTTGCACATTAAGTACTGTACCTTGCTCTTTCCTCCTGAAGCATCCCTTAAGACTACATGTGTGTGTAAATAAAGGAAACTGGGATACAGCCTCAGGATTTATGCTGTGTCATCTATGAAGAGGCTGTTTGGGTTGCATGGTGAGCCAAGAATTGCTGGGTGGTGGATACAGAAGCCATATCTTCCATTCTCAGTGGTATGCAGTGGAAGACAGCCATACCAATAGAAAATTCACCAAGCCAGACTTCCACAGCTGGGCTTTTCTAGTTTTAACTTACTTTAGAACCAGGACTAATGTAAAGCTGATTTAAAATATGTAATATATAAGCCTATCGGTTCTTCAGTAATCTTAGGTCTCTCTGCAAGAGCATTCTATTCCATATAATGAGATATTATTATTAATAATGAGAAGACATATTTTTCCTGCTTGTACATGTTGATGTAGTATTGCCCAAGTCCTCACAAAGGTAAGGATGTGAAATTGGATTTTAGATTGACAACTAACACTAATGATTAAAAGCTCAATCTTAAGCAGATTTCCTGAATTCAATCACTTCAGTCTTTAGCAACAGTTTTCAGGTAGCCATCACCATATTTGAGGAGATAGGAATGAGATCAGAATTCCTGTACTCTGCTTGGTTGTGTGTAGCTGCCAAGGCTGACATCTATTAATGGAAAAGCCTTTGACAATAACACTTCTCTTTTCGTGAGAATCTGAATAGCAGTGACAGATCAGGAACCCCATTTTGATGTTCACTGCATATTTTTCTTTTCTCCTCAGTTCAGACATACTCATTTCATTAAGTTGGGTCAGTTAGGTCAGGCAGCCTTATAATTATCTCCCAGGACCAAAGCTCTGGCTGAACTTTTAGTTCAGAACATTGTGTCTTTCCTGGGACCTCGTGGGGTTATCCTCCATTTCACTTCAAAATTACGAGGATGGATTCTTCTGTGCTTGTGTATACTTTGTGTACCTGCCAAGTCCTCGCCTTCCATTCCTTCAGGTAGTCTCAGAAGTCACTGATTATAAATGCTGATCTGACTCTGTAAGCTTTCAGCAGCACACCTGAGGTTCCCATTTTCTTTCATGGTGAACAGTTTTTCTTTCTTTTCTTTCTTTGACTTTTTTGAGGAACTGATTCCAAAGATTTTATTCACAGTAGTTAACAGGTGTGAATTGGTGTTTGCTAGCATAAGTGTCGTGCTGGGTAGCCCTTTGTTCCCCTCCTGCTGCTTCCCTGCTCTATTATGGCAAAACTTACTTTAATAGGAGTTTTTTTAAATGGTTTGTACAGTGTGTATTTTTAAAGCATATTATGGAATAAAAGTGAATACCTATGAGAACAATGTGTTCCTCTGAACCTCTAACAATTGGGCAGGTTTCTTGATTTCAATGGATACACTCCAGAACAAGGGACTTGTACCACCTGAGCAGGAGTGCTAGAATCTGGCCCTCAACAGATGCAGTTTTGTTTCCACCAGCATGTGCCAATTAAAATGATTCTGCTGTAATAAAATATCAGGAGACAGAAAAGGAACAGCCGTGAACTGAGGCAATACTGAAGAGTTGAGGGCTTTTTCAGCTGACACAGATCCCCTGCTCCACTGGCGATCAATGGCAATAATGACATTCCCTTTGCAAGGTAGTGCTGGGCTGCTGAGGGCTGATTCTGATGCCAGTGGCTGGTGTGAGTCGTTGAGGGATATTAAAAGATCATGTTGGATGGGTGGCAGGAAGATCTGAAGCCACCAGAGATGTGGAGCAGGAATAATAGGAGGAGTGGTAAGAGTGACACCATTTCCAGAATACCTGAATTAAGAAGGAAGGCAGGAGAGGCTGAGCTGTGTTTGAAATACTTTGTCAGCTCAGTTACAAGTAATTGTAGATAGTGTAGATACTTGTGCCTCAAAAATGAGAATGTACTACTAAAACAAAATTCTAATTTTACAAGTCTTGGCAAGAGTGGGTTTAGCCAGCAAACAAAACCATAAAAAGTGTTCCTTCTGATAAGTATTTTCCTTTCAATGGGGATATATAATCTACTAAGTTAACTCTCTTTACAGCTGTTTTATGCTTTTGTAACATGACTCAGCCTCATGGATGTTTCTCCTGATGTCCATAATTTGAGAAGACACTGAATCCTGAGCTCATACTAAAAGACATATCTTATCTAAAAAACCCTGTAGAGATAAGAATGTCTATGCACTGAGGCTATTTTTTTTTACCTATTTCTCTTTACTGTGGCTAACATTTCTTGTTTTAATAAGAGTTGCAATGCTTGTATTTGCTGAGCCTTTAAGTAATTACAACTTAATTTCTGTGCTGTGGCACAATTGCAAGTGGATTTCACTGTTACAGATTCTGCTACTTTAATTGTCACATTTGCCCTTCACAGCTCAATTTCTTTCTGTTTTCCTGCTTGAGACTTTTAAGTCTAGGTTTTTATTTTTCATACACGTCTGTTTAAAATCTCATTGGGATGGGAAATCCAACATCAAAAAGTTAAAAAGAACCCCAAAACCAACCAAAGAAAAGTACAAAAACAGAAACAAAAAAGCCAAACAGAGGGGTTTCAGGAGCAAAGAAAAAAATGTTTACCAAAAAAAGAGGAAACTTTGCTGAACCACCAATATGCCAGGGCACACAGCACTCCTGTATTCAACCCTATTTTTTGCCTCACAAAATTCTACCTGTTTTAAGAGCTCTCAAGCTTCTTGTATTCTCAATAGACTTTG